CTGATTCTAAAATGATTTTGTCTGATACAATATTGGAGAAAAAGACGTCCCCCTGTCTCTTCTTTCGATTGGTGAAAACCGCAGATCTCTAGCTGATTGTGTTCTTGAGTTATTCAAAAAACAGTGGGACGCATTATATTTTGAAACGGACATTAATTATATTTAATATTTTTATCGGCTTCGAATTAGAAAACTACCTAAGATGTTTGTCATATGATAGTTTTGTGATTGAACACGACTAAGACAAACATACAATATAGAGCTTGTATTTCAAAATGAAAAGTCTTTATATCGAACAAAGAAAAATTTTTATTGTTTTTTGACAATCGAAAGTTTGAGGAATTTGACCATATTTGATGGGTGGATGACAAAGACAGTCGATAAACGTACCAAAAACTGATGGTTATCAATCAAATTTAAACATTAGAATTAATAATCAAGATTTTTTAAAATTGTCTTATTATCGATACAGTGTAATTCAGATATGTTACTTGATGATTTTCTTCATTTATTCGCTAGGTTTAATTAAATTAATAATACTTATGCTGTTAGAAAAAATACCGGAAGAAATATCCATTTTGTATGGTAACTGTATTATCTGAATTATTTTTTCCATGTCATATAATTTATCAAGCCGTTAACAGTAGATAGATCTATGAAACTATAGCCGAAAAAATATCAGAAAGTCACGGTATTACGACAACTTCAATTATTAAAAAACTGCATATCATTATTTCATTATAGTTTACAGTCAATTGCGATCGTATTTATATTTGACCTAAGTTGTTTATTTTGTGATTTTTCAATATTAAAGTCATTCATCTTCAGTATCACTAAAAGTCTATTATTAAAGTGTAGTTTTAATTAAACGATATAATTTATTAATTTTTCTTGGATTACAAGTCTAATAGAAAAGTAATCATTTATCCTACCAGAATCATTTTTTTCTTATTCTTCTTTTTTTTTCTTTCTGTTAAAATGTTCATAATCAACTAGATTATATGTCGGCCTTGTGGCCTAATGGTTAAGGCGTCTGACTTCGGATCAGAAGATTGCAGGTTCGACTCCTGCCAGGGTCGGTTTATTTTTTCTTTCTTTTTATCATCTTATATATTTTTGTTTATCATTATATATAAATATTGATTTATTAAAACATAGATAATGTGTTAAAAAACTGAATCGATAAAAACATCATGAACAAATCTTTTTATGTTTTACAAAAATTAGATAATGAAAAAAAATGATTTATTAGGATCAATTTTAAGAGCAAAACCAATTACTATCATACTAGATAATTTTCATATTCTTTGTTTTCATTTAAGTAGTTTTCAATCATCAGATTTTAAAAATGATTATTCGTTATTATCATATTACTGGAGATATTTTTGTATTTTAGAAGAGAAAATGTGATGAACAAAGAAAAAAAAAAGCAGTTAAGATTTATTTTGCTTTTTTTCAAAATGAATAGTTAAAAATATTTATTGATAATGATATATACAGAAAAATAACAAGTAAACAACGACAAGATGTCCTTATTTTTTTTTTCGGTAGAATATTTTACATATAAAGATTTACTAGAAGTTGTGAAAATGAACTTTTTTTTTAAATAATTTAAAATTTCGATTTAACAAAAGTTTATTCAACAATTCGTTGTAAAATTGATCGAGGAATATAATAATGTAAACAAAAATAAAACTAAGATAATGATATTGATTATGCTAATATGTTATTATCAAGAATAACTTGAAATTCATTTTTTGAATAATGGTATTTACTATACATAATCTAATGAGACAAGATAAATCATAAAAATTGATTCTGATAATAAAGCTAAATATCAATCTATACAAATCTTATCAATTTCAATTCTATACACATTTAAAACAAGTAACAAATAAATTCATTTGAAAAATATTATATTATTTTGTCTTAGTATATTTGTCGAGATAATCTTTGATTTATTAGAATACTTGAACTACATATTATCTAAAAAACGAAGTTCAAATTGATAGGTTTGGTGATATATTCGATTTCGCATGGAGTTCTATGGAACTAAGACCTGATAGATTCATGATTGATAGCAGAACTATGAAGAAATGAACTTTTCTTTTAATTCGTCATGAAGCTAACATATATGCTATCGATTATCAATCACAATAATATTTTCTCTAGTGTAGATGACACTAACAATTTTTTTTTCACATTAACATTTCTTCATTTTTGTAGACATTACTATTTCAATATTTTTCTAATAAAACATTTATTCCCCATTCTTTGTTCCATAGACTGTTTACAATGAGAGTCGAATCTGATCCATATTCGATGTGTATGTGATAGCAGCATCAGATATGAAAGCCTTTACAAAAATAATGATCTTTTAAGCCAGTGTCCATGAGAATACCAAAGACTACTTCAGTATATAAAATATTATTCCAAATAAAAATTTTTGATTTTTATACGCATTCGAGAAGTCGTCATCTAAAACTACGAAACTCTAATTTTTACTAATAGTATTCTAAAAAAATTATTTTAACAGATGCATGTAGCCTGAAGAAAGGCCAACGAAAATAACTTTCAAAGACACTTTTCATCTTCAGTATTTTCTTTTCGAAATGTTACTCATTTAGTTAAAAAAATGTTATTCACTCATTGTGAGTTGGTGGTGTGATAAGAGGCTGATTTAATTACACCTAAAATCTTATGAAATCACGTCCAAATATAACATCAAAATATTCGAGAAATTATAATCTGTCGATCTGTATATGACTGAATTAAACTTAACAATAAAAATGAAAAAACATCAAAATATATTCTGATGCATCTCTGTCCTTTAGTTTGTGATTATTAATCGAATTATGTTGTCAGAATATTGATAATGCCTGTACTAAATGGATATCCTTATGATAAATTGAATTGTATTCATGTCATTTTTTTCATTCTCCTATGCATTTCCTTATTATTTTGTAGTCACCTATTGATATCATGGATATGCAAATTCAATCAAGTTTGGATATCAACCAAACGTTTTTGTATCAATAGTGTTTGTAAAAATCCATAAAATATTTGTAGACATTGCTCAAAATGAAAAGCTGAATTCATTATTTATTACTTTACTGAAATATAGAACTTATTGAAGTAAATAGTATTTTATCAAAATTTATTTCTAAAAATAGGACATAAGAAAAAGAATTCAACTTCGTAGCTATTATCAATAGATGCCATATTGAAAAATTTAACAATTCCATTTTGACACTTAAATATATTATATAGGAGAAGAACTTGTTCATGCAACTATGACTTGATTCAATGGCACATCACATCTATGATCATTGTAATATCTCCTCTGTAAGAGATTTCTTAGACATCAATGTAAAAATAAAATTTTGCTTTCTGTGTCTTTTTTCCTGAAGAATAACAAAATTGTGAAAACTATCGATTCATTATTACTTCTATCAAACAAAAAAGAAACACTGTTCAAATAGACACAAGATGCTCACAATTGATATTTTATTTCGATATTTAAACAAAAGGAAAGCACATTTTCAACAAATGAAACAATGAAAGTAGAGCTAACATGTGTAGATTAAATTGTTCCATAGGAAATGATGTTCTGATGTTCATTTTTCATGACTATCATCTTTAACATTTCCTACGAGATTGTGAAGGATGTCTTGAAAGAGACTATTGCCAATCTTTATGTATTGCTCTCGTTGATTTTGGGCCGTCATGTCAAGTGCACGAGCTGCATCCAAACCACTGAAATATCCTGTGCAATTCGTTGAAAGAAGAGCGGTATTGTCAGCATTTTGAAAATATGCCACTTCTTGTGCATGTTGTTGTAACCAATCCGTAAAAGAACCATTGTTGATCAATTGAGTAATGATTGCTTGAATTTGTGTCACGTATAATTCAGCCAAAGTAGTATTGGCACATAGCGTTGATGCTATTGTCTTGTTATTACCTTCATTTGAACCACCATGATGATTATCACCACCTGGTCTTTCATGATGATTATCACCACCTGGTCTTTCATGATGATTATCACCACCTGATCCTCCACGGCCGCCAAAACTACGAGCTGAGACCAATCCCAAACATATCTAAAGTCGAAAAGTTTTAAATATTTTATTAGCAGAACGTATCAAAGAAACTTACGAATGCAACGAAAATAGTAATTTTAATCATGTTGTTGCGATTACTTTTTGAGTGTTAGATGACGCTTCTATATGCTTTATTTATATAGTCGTCGCTGTTGAGTTGAGGAATGAAGAGAAGGAAAAGAAGAAAAAGAATGTACTTTTTCTTGTTTGAGTACAATTGGCATGCCCCATAGAGAAAGTAACACAGACATACTTTAGTTTCTATTACTCATTGTTGTTTTGCTTTTTTTTTCTCATTTTGATGTCAGGTCTCTGGCAAAAAAGTACATTAAATCAATAGAAATATATGGTTCTTTTAAAGAAACAGCATCCATTTATTATTTTCATGCTAATCAATAAATCAAAAGATGAAAAGTACATTTCTTCTGTACACTGTGAGTTAAAGCCTATACTTTAAGTCCGTTCTTTAGCATGAATGCAAATGAGTAACATACAACAGCTTAGCACTCTATGAATCAGTCAAGCGAATCGATGGCAAATCTGATCGTGTTTTTTTTTTCAACATCATCATTGAGATTGATTATGTCTATGTATCTGATAATGGAGTAGGATTGATGAAAAGAATACTTTAATCAATTGACGTAAACATAAGAAGAGAGATGCATTGAGCTGAACATTGATGCGTCTGTTGATGTAAATCTAAGTCGACTTTATTTCTTCGAGAACTTTTAGATCGAAATTAGCCTTTCAATTGTAGACATCTCACCATTGTTTCAGGACAAAACAGCTACAATCAGATTTCAGTTTCAAGTAAAATTTGTCACAACTCTGTGTCACTGAGAAGACCTTGAAAATCTCATGTCCTGTCACCGAAATGATTAATGACTTTATAGGTAAACAAAACGCATGCAGATAGAGAACAGAGTGTTGGAACAAACGAAAGAATATCTACGAGTCAGAGCTTTGACGTAGCACACGATGTTTCTGAGTAGCTTGTTCCTTGCCGCACGAATAAGTATTTGAAGTGAGCCACTAGGTGACATTCTCCGCAGTCTGAATCTGTTTTATGCCTGAACAATATTTGAATGCCATTATGATTGATAATAGGACAAAGTAAAAGTATCATGAACAAACATCTCAATAACAGCCGATTCTTAGTAATGTCATTGCGAGTTCAACGCTACCATTTCGATCTGTATACTTTATCAAAGATTGCAGAGTTTTCACTTGTGTGATGCATAGTTGAATGATATATTTGATCTGTATATAGTCAAAAATAGTAACATATTGGTTTTAGAAATTTTATGCTCGAAGTTCGAATATTTTCCATGAGAAACTTGAAATTTATAACACTCCAATATTTCATCATGCATATTTTTTGTTATCTTTATATTTTAAATCAAACGTAAATAATATTATTGATTTATAAAGAGAAGACAAATCCATGTTGTCATTTACAATTAGTTATATTATCGTTATTTCTATTTCAAGACAACATTAATATCATATTATTCAAATAAATGTTATTTTAGTTTATTGTAATCATATGTTTCGACTCTTTCTAGAACTCTTAATAATTATTACAACACGTCGTCATGTATATAATATTGAACTATGGACTGATTTATTCAATAATTTCATAACAATGATCTTCGTTTCGAAAGATGTCTCGAGATGAATAAGCAAGTTCATAAACAACTGTAAATCATCGCATATTGGTGTATTACATGACCAGGCTTTCCGATTAGAGGAGGGGGAGGGTGCTACCCCCTCCCAAAATTATGTGTCTCTCTGCGAAAATTTTTAATACTGTCTGTCAATATTTTACGGTTGCTGAAAGAAATGACTGATTGTATGGGAGCCCGAGGGGAAGTACGGTACGCCCTAGTGAAATCTGGTGTCGTTTCTTCCCTCTTACTCCCGGTCAACAGTTTTCATGCCAGAAAAATAAGAACATTGTCTGCCAAAATTTTAGCCCCTCCCACTCTGAAAAACAATCGACAACCCTGTGCATGACTCAATATTACGATTTTGTTTTTCTGTTTTTGATAACTAGAAATATGATCTCTAATGAAGTTTATGTATGCCTTTCATTTTCTTCAGTACGTTGCCGTAAGCGATCGTTTTTCTGTCTATTCGAAACAGATAGATACGGTCGTAATGCTAAGTCATGTAATACACAAAAACAAACGAAAGCTTACGATGACATGCTGAATGTATACGGATTTTGTATTCTTCATCGTGGAAAAGTAAGAAACCCAAATTTTTAGCTCATTCCGATATTGTATAGTAAACTTATCTTCGATCCACTTTTCAACACTATCTTCCTACTTTCAAGGAAATAGTGATTAATTCTCTCATAATTATGTACTAGAATTATACTTCCACAATACAGAGAGTTTTTTTATGCAATATATCAAAAGACAGAACGTCAATAAAAGAAAAACTGAGCTACGAAAATGTTGTAGATTATTTCAACAGGTGTGAGTGTGAATGTGCCGTGGTACGGTGTTAATGTGAATACTTTTCCTCTCTACATACACTTCCACACTCACACACACAATTTACAAGGTTCTTGTAAACAGCTAGTTTTGTAGAGTTTCAAAAGCTCTGTCGAATGGTATATGATAGATATGGGATCAATGATGCTTTTATAAAAAATCAAGCATATATATATATGATTCATATACGACATCTGTGAAATGAAAGGTTGCAGCCTAAGATGTGCAGGATCTTGAAAAAAATGAAATAGTATTTTAAAGGAATGATTTTAACAAATAGATGTAGCCTGAAGAAAAACTAATGAGAACAACTTTCAAAAACACTCTTCAGCTTCAGTACTTTCTTTTCAAACTGTTACTCATTTAGTTAGAAAGTATTATTGACTAACTGGGAATTACGTTGTGCAGAAAGAGGCCGATTTAATTATACCTAAACTTCTATGAAATCGCCTCCTTATATAAGATTAAAATGATTGAAAAGTTATAATATATTAATTTGCGTATGACTGAAATAAATTTCACAACGAAAATCAAGAGAGATTGAAATATGTTCTTATGCATCTCCATCCTTTAGTTAGTGATTCTTAATCGAATTATGTTTTCATAATATTGACAATCTATGCTTGTTGGATGACACTATGATAAATTGAATTCTCCCAAGTAAAAAAACGACAAAAAATCTGATTTTAATCTAATTAATCGACGTTTTGCCTTACACGAGTAAGTATGAATTTGTATCGTATGTGGAAATGTATAAAAGATAGGGCTAATAATACACTTATCATTTGTCGACGTGATGAGTCAGAAAAAAGAATTAAAAATTGGAGTTTCGAAGTTAAAATTGAAGAAAAACGCATTGTATAGTCACAGCAATTAAAATCGATTGAAAATTAAAAATAATCGATTAAAATTGTTAAACATGAATAAAATCCGAGTTTTTGTAGCTTTTTTTACATAGGGTGTTTATACCATTTTACCATTATCCTATGCATCTTCTGATTATTTTGTAGTTATCAACTGAAACAAAACGAAAATAATCTAATGATATTTGATCATTTTAACTGATGTCATATATTCGAAATTGTATAAGTACATACATGAAAATTTCTTTTAGTTTGATTCGCTAATATCAAGTATAAGTCTTTTATTCAAAAAAGTTCTTCATTTAACAAAAACTACTTGCCAGAAAAAGAGAAATTTCTTTTTTTAATATCTATTCTAAATCAGAACAATAATCGTTTTCTATTGGATCAGTTGTATAATATCGGAAAATTTAACAAGATCATTTTGAAATTTAATATATATTGTGTAGAAGAAGAACTCATTAGTGCAATTATGACATTTTTCCATTGAATGTCATATCTACGATCATTGAATATCATTACATCAATATTACTGAAACTTTTCTCAATAATAAATTTTAATCGTACAATCGATCGGTTTTCATCTGTTCAAGAACTTATTGAAGGGATTCAGGAAAATTTCGTTGGATTCCAAAGCGTTATCAAAATTGATTCACATCTCGAGTAGAGTACCACCATGACAGATGTTGATTTTCAATGACTATGAGTTTTCATACGCTTAGCGAGCACATAAAATTCATGTTATCTTATCATTGCATAGTTCTGTATTTTAATCGACAAGCTGAAGGTTTATCGAATGACTTCTTAATTTGCATAACTAATTGTTGTTTCATATTGAAACAATGGTTTTTATTCAGAAGTAGAAATTTTGTTTTTAAACATCTATCCAGATTTCTTTTATTTTTCATGATGAAATGAACGTAAAAATATCACTTTAATGCAACACTGTAAGTGACAAAGTGTAAATAATAGATCAATGAAAGTTCTTGTTTACAACAAAAATTGTTAGACGTCAATGTAAAAATAAAATTTTGCCTTTTATGTCTTTTTCTATGAGGAATAACAAAATTGTGAAAACTATCAATTTATTATGACTTGTATCAAACAACAAACGCTGATCCAATCGAGAAAATATATTGACAACTAACATTTTATTTCAATCGTGGAAAAAAAAGAAAACGTACATGAGATAAATTAAACAAAGAAAACTGAGCTAACATTGTTTGCGCTGGATTATGGTATAAGAAATGACGTTCTGATGTTCATTTTTCATGACTATCATCTCGAAAGTATCCGACAAGATTGAGAAGAATGTCTTCAAACAGGCCGTTGGCAATCTTTGTGTATTGCTCTCGTTGATTTTGGGCAGTTGTGTCAAGTGCACGAACTGCGTCCACACCACGGAAATATCCTGTGCAATTCGATGAAAGAAGAACTGTATTAACATCACTTTGGAAATATGCCATTTCTTGTGCATGTTGTTGTAACCAATCCGTAAAAGAACCATTGTTGATAAATTGAGTAATGATTGCTTGAACTTGTGTCACGTATAATTGAGCCAAAGTAGTATTGGTACACAGTATCAATGATACTGTGTTGCGATTATCTTCATTGAAACCACCATGATAATAATAACCAGTCCGCTGTCCATAAAAATGATAACCACGTTCTCGTTCACGATATTTATTGCCACCTGATCGTCCATGGTCTCGAAAACCACGAGTTGAGACTAATCCCAAACACAACTAAAGCCATCAAGTGATCAAAATCTTACTACTATCACGCATCAAAGAAACTTACGAAAGCAACGATAATAATAAGTTTCATCATGTTGTTGCGATTGCTTGTTGTGTACTAGATGACGTTTGTATATGATTTATTTATATAGTCCTCGTCATCGAATTCAGAAATGAGGAGAAAGATAAAAGAAAAAGAATGTACTTTTTTTTATTTCATTGTAATTGCCACGCCTCATTGAGAAAGTGACGCAACAATACTATAGTTTTGCTGGCCACTAATGATTTGTTTTCTTTTTTTGTTTTTCATTTCGATATTAGATCTCTAGCAGAAACGTGCATTAACTCAACATTAATATATGATTCCTTTAAAGAAACAAAAACTATTCATTATTTCCATATTAATCAATAAATCAAAAATGAAAAGTATATTTCTTCTGTACATTGTAAGTTGAATTCTACACTATAAGTATGTTTTTTGGCCTGAGAAAAAATGAGTCACATACAATAGTTTAGCGTTCGATAATAAGTCATTGCTTCTACGTACGATGTATAAGTGAAGTAAATTGATTATTACCTTGATGATATTTTTTTTTCAACATTATCATTCAATTGATCATGTGCAGAAATGAAAGTCTAGTAAACAGACAACAGTTAAATAGTGATTCGTTTTGAACTGCGGAAATGAATCAGCATCACACATCTGATAATTGAGTGGGATTGAAGAAAAGAGTAGTTTAATCAGTTGACGTAAATATAAGAAAATAGATAAAACCACCTGAATACGATAGTTGAATCAAAGTAGTAACTGGATAGCAACTAGAAATAGTCAATTATTATTCAGTGCGATGATGAGCAACATCGTTGATGTGTCTATTGATATAAATCTAAGTCGGTTTTACTTCATTAAGAGCTGTTTGATCGAAATTAGCTTTTCGATTGGAGACCTATCATTATTGTTTCATGACAAAACATTTAGAATTAGATTTCAATATTAAGTGGAATATGTCATAGCTATGTACTGATGAGAAAATGTTAAAAATATCATGTGCTGTCACCGAAATTCTTAATTGCTTTATTGGTAAATAAAATGTGTGCAGACAGAGAATAAAGAGCTGGAACAAATGAACGAATCTGTACGTGTCAAGGTATTGACTAAGATCAGTACTTCATGTATCACATGATGTTTCTGAGTAGCTTGTTCCTTGCCGTACGAATAAGTATTTGAAGTGAGCCACTCGGTGACATTCTCCGCAGTCTGAATCTGTTTTATGCCTGAACAATATTTGAATGCCATTATGATTGATAATAGGACAAAGTAA